ATACTCCACCATGAGGATGTACCATATGGTTTGGTATACATTTGTTCCTAATCTTTTACATACATCATACTTGGTTTTTGCCAAAGTTTCTTTTGAATAGATTTCTAGAAGTGGGATTTCTGCATCAAAGGGAAGTGTGCGGGGCTGTGCTATCTGGCCTTCCCACCCTGTACACCAGGGCCTTCTCCCCAGGGCCCTGCCAGTAGAGTATGTTATCATGCTTTGGCTTTTTGCCAATCTGTGGATGAGAAATGGGTTTTATTTTGTGTTCTTTCACCCAGACTGGAAGTGAGAGAGCTTTTGTTTTTAACCTTTAATTTGGATTAAAAATTCCCAAGAAACATACAGGAAGGCGGGAGCGTAGACGTGGACTCTGTAGCTGACTCCGGCCCTACTCTAGAAAAGAGCACCGCCTGCCTGTGGCAGGGGAGGCAGAGGACAACCAGTTATCACCTCTGCCCAGGCTCAGCCTCACTGAGCGCGGTGCGATACAGACTTGGAGAAGGACCGTCACGCAGAACCACTTGTCCTCCCTAGATGGACCTTTGGGTCGCAGGATGCCTCCTCCTCGGGTTAATATGATTCATTTCTTTGTGACACGGTTTAGGGTTCCTCTCCTAAATTCTACTTTCTCTACCTATAACTGTAAAATATCCTCAGACTGTAAGTAGATGTGAGAGAATCGGGGAACAGTACTATAATGACTAAGACATTTCTTAACAAAATTGATTTTGGTCAGTTTCGGTAAGGAATTTTACTCATCAAAGAAAAGTCACTCATCCCCCACGAACTTCAAAAAATGACACCAAACCACCAACCTTTAGGAAGAGGGGGCACTGGTTCTGAGCCTGGGGACACGATGACCAAAACCACTGGGGGAGATTCTCAGCTTTGGCAGTTGATACAAAGTACCCCAGGGCCAGAGGCTGCTGCTTCAGCTCCTCGGGTGCTTCCCTAGAGAGAAGGCGCTCACCCTGGCTCTGAAAAGTAAAGTTCCAAAAGCATGATCAGCCCCTATCGCCGAAGAAAGCTTTTTTAAAAAATTAACTTTTTTTTAAAGAAAGAAGTTGTGTTATAATTTAGATACATTAGTTCTAGGTGTACAACACCATGATTCAAATTATGGGAAATAATCACAAGTCTGGTTATCATCCACCACCATATATAGTTACAGCTTTTTTTCCCTGTGATGAGAACTTTTAAGATCTACTCTATTAGCAACTTCCAAGTATACAATATAGTAGTATTAACTAGAGTCAACCCATTGTACATGGTGCATCCCAGGACACTTATAACTGGAAGTTTGTACCTTTTGACTTTTGACCACCTTCATCCAACTTTTTATCAGTTCACCTGGCACCGTGCAGTGACTAATCCCTCTCCTGGCAGCCTCTCACACAAAAATGTCAAGTGACCAAGAAAGGTCAAGAGGGGAGGCAGTCCTTCCTGCACAGATACGCGACTGCGGCTCAGGCAGAAGGTACCGGCAAAAAAAAAGTCAGTCAAGTAAGCAGATTTCTTTTTCCTGGTTCCTTTTCTGCAGAATGTAAAGTCTGCTCCGTAGCACTGTGAGGTAACAAAGTAAAAATGGAAAGAGTGGAAGCTGACAGCGGATGGCACCACCACACCCATGTGTTCTTTCACCAGCAACCAAGCAAAAATACATGAGCGCACCTGACCATCCACTGTCAACACTTGACCAGTATCTGACCTGCCTGTGGTGTGCGATCTGCTGGTGAGGAAGCCCTGCTTCAAGTCACAGCAACCCCGGTGGTCAGGCTCCTGTGAGAGCCTCACGGTGCGTTTCTGCAACTGACATTTTCCTCATCTGTGACTGTCTTAGCTAGCTTCAAGAGATGAAAGCGTACTTTTTATGCAAGCAATAATAAGTAATCCATTTGTTCCCAAAAGCCTTCTGTTTCAAGGGGGAAAAAAAATCTCAACTACTACACCAAGTTGTATTAATTCTGAGTTGGTTAAAAAAATCAGCACTTACTGCAACCCGTAATGTCTTAATTTGGTATCAAAGAATGGTTAATGGTTCAGAAAGAGGAAATGCAGAAACTCTTACAGGTCACCTGGCTCCAGGATGCTCAGGACTGGAAAAGGCCACCTGACCAGCTTCAGCAGAGTGCTGTTTCAACTGTGACATTCAATAGCTTGAGGCCTCAGCAAAGGGACAAAATACAGCAGGCCTCTGTTTCTTAAAAAACTAACATTACACTTCAATTACCAATTCTCTGTTAATGGAGAAGCTGAATCACAACAGCTGGTACTGACAGGTCCACTGCTGTTACTTCCATTTCACAGGGAAGGTAACTAAGGCTGAGAAAAGTAAGGTAAGAAAGCTTGTCCACGGTGGTAACGCCAGTAAGACGTCAGTCAGGCTGTGATTCAGAGCTGTATTTATCAAGCTTCAGGGCACGCGTTCTTGGCTGCTGTATTTACCTCTAGAATTCGCATTAATCCTAAAGTAAAACTATTCAGTGTAAAGTTTGCGTTCTTGGTCCCGACCACTCCATCTCCAGTGAACCAATAAATTGTCATTAACTGGCAAATGACTGTGGAGGAAGTATAAAGACATTTAAAATCTCTTCCTTCCAGAAGGGAGCGATGTGAGTTGCCCTTCCATGGTGTCATCTGCTCTGTACCTCAAGTCTGCAATCTTTTCCCTTGATTGTTCTTCAGGAAACACAGGGCTGGCAGGAAAAGTCCGCCCGACAGAAACCTGACTCCTCTAAGCACATCTTTGTGTCTAAAAGAGTGTGAGCAGAGTTGCTTATACTTGTCCAGTTTAAGACGTTAGACATAGCTATTTCTCCGTGTCTTAACCCCTCAATCTCTTAACATTTTAGGTAAAAAGTATAATACAGCAGGGAGACACGAATCACCTAGCTTTTAAACAAAGTGAACATGAGCGATGGCAGGACCTTTAACTCTTCAATCTCCGGCTAAACCACCTCCACTATCCCTGCGATATTAAAGGATGAAACTAGTTGTAAGCTCTGTTTTTTTCCCTTAATACTCTGGCATTAACCTGGACACTTCTCCGAAATCAGCCCCCTGCAGGCTCTTCCCAGTCCTGCAGGCTGGCCACAGGGAAGACCGACTGCCTAAATGAAGGCTCCATGACACGGAACAACAACAGTTAGGCTTCTTTCAGAATAATTAACCAGCGACACTGTGTTCTTCAATTAACACAGTTACTTCACGTGTTAAATATGCAGGGTTATTGAACTAGCCTCTGAAAAGCCACCATTTTGGCAAAAAAATTTAAAAATAACTGGGAAGCAGCAAGCAAAATTAATTTTTGCTCAGAAAACAATAATTGCACAAAACCCATGCCGCTGTAATAGGACTAGTCTTCTGATTAAACATACAGATCAGGAATAAGAATACATTACTTCAGAACCCCTGCCTTTATTCAAAGTGGAACCACCACAGCGTCACTTTCCCACTTGCTGTTTCTCTCATACCAGGGACCACGACCACCAAGAAGAGAGGTGCGTGTCGTAAAAGATGATCATGCTTCTAGAGGATTTTCTTAAAGGCTGACGGTGCTTTAAACAACCCATTTCAAACTGTCCTTACCCGACTGTGCTGGAAGTGAGAGCCCACGCCAATCCCAGAAGGAGAGCCTGGGGAGGGAACTGGGGAGGAGTTGGGAGAGGAATGGAGGTTCCCAGTCATCAATATGCCAATATCATTGTCCATATCATCTGGGAATGGAAGGTCAACAAACATGTCATCTAGAGGGGAGAGGAAAAAAAAGCACAAAAATTAAAAGGAGACTCCACAGCCCCAACTTAACCAATATACTGTTTGTTGGCCTGTGACTGTTACAGGCGTGTGGTGTTAACAACTTAGTAAGATTTCATGTGTGCCCACTGGGGATAAGGCGCTGCAAACCATTCTTTCATTTTGTACTCTCTGGTGATCTCCGAATGTGAAGTATTAACAGAATGGAGAAACAAAGAACATAAAAATTAAACTCCATACTCTGTATTGCCTCTAAAGGCACATAAAAAGATGGCAAAACAGCTAGAGCAGCAACTTAATTATTAAAGTTAAAACTGACACCATCCAAGAAAACAGCAGACTCCATGTATGTGTCCAATTAACATCTAAAGTACTGAAGGCTGAATTAATGCATGTTATAGGTATGAACCTGCCCTGAAACTGGAGGCCTATTACACAAGCAGATCAAAGCATGTTTTCACTGAGAAATCCTCTCCTGTATTATAAAAGTAAGGTGCACACAGAAAATTTGGAAAGAAAAGTGTAAAGGGGAAACCCGATCACCACGAACATTTTTGCTAAGATTCAGTGTGATCATACAACGTATGTTATACATACATACATGCAGGATGGTTTCCTTTTACCTCCCCATTTAAGGGGCGTAGCTGCTGGCAGCTGTGCAAAATTCTTAAAAAAACAGTGCAAATGGCTACATAATAAGCATTTTACAGTTTATACGTAATCATTTCTTAACAAATGCCTTCAAACCAAAACAAAGCTACTCAGAATAATCAAATAAGGAGTTGTTTTAGAGCAGATTAGATTCCCTTCGACTAGCTCAAGGCAGGTGCTATCTTCGTACATTTCAAATCAGATCAAGAAATATTTATTCCAAGAGTGACAGTCATGTACAGGAGACTACCAAGCAGATATGACTTTGCCTTTAATGAAAAACAAGATAAAGTTAATTACCCAAGAGAGGAAAATGTTTACTTGGTCTTGGTAATAGTGTAAATTAAATCTTCAAAAACCACAAGGGTTTTTCAAACTTTCATATTTCGTCTGTTGTTCACGACGACACTGAAAACCTGCAGCAGCCCAATGACTGACTCCATGTGCTAGCTCTGTGTCTTGTTGAAGGAGTTAAGCTCAATACAGACAGCGTCTTCCACTCACCATTGTTGGGGCTAAACCCATCTTCATTGGGATAGTTGGCTGGAGCCACTTGGATGGTTGACGATGTTGGGAACACCAAGATGTGTGTACAAGAAGCATCCTGAGGGGTGTTAAGCTGAGATGACTGCATGTTCAGTGCAGTGCTTCGGCCAAAAACCGAGCCCATTGTGACAGCATCTTAAAAAAGGAAAAAAACCTAATGTATCAATTCCTTTTACACAGCAGTGAACAACTCAGCAATGAAGTTTTAAGAGGACCCGAGCTGGAGCCATGCAGGTCTGACACAGCTGCTGTGAGAGATGAACACTGTAAGTTGAGTCCACTTGTTTAAATATTTCCAAGAAACTGACTCAGAGCACAAGCGATAACTGAAGCCGCATTTCACACTGGGAAGGCTAAGATAAAACTGGACTGAGTCCACCAGATATGTTTTAATTATTGAAAAAGTATCTCTAAAAATAACACTTTCTTTCCTCCTGTGATTGCTCACAATTTATAAAGGACTGATCTCCTAAATGACACAATTCTATGGAAATGGTACCATTCAACTATTAATTGTTACACCTAATATTGATTGAATGCTCACTACATGCCAGAGTCTGTGCTAAATTCTTTATTCATAGCATCTCATTCAATCATCGGGGTAGAAAGTACTATCCCCATTTCATGAGAAGGACAGAGCACAAAGAAATGCTGTAATCTGCCCAAGAGATGCAGACAA